GTGTAGTAATGGAATGGTTAAATGCTTTAAATGTATATAATTAGACAATCACGTTGTACACAAAACATATCGGAGATGAGTAAATGCTTTAAATTTATATAATATATAGGCCAGGCCTAATGAAGAAATATACAGTTGGAGATTTCAAGGCAGCAGCGGGTGTAATAAAAATTTAAAAAAAAAAACAATTATTGGCGGGGCACTATATTATCTGAGACAACTATACACGTGTAAAATTCATGTCATCAAAGTTGTACATAAAACAAAAGGGGCAAGATGTGTTAAATATTTTTTCAATTTATTCGCCAATTCTTAACCTTGAAAATAAATCAAAAATTTAAACATATTTCAAGAAGTGACGAAACAAAGCTGTATACTATACAACCGCATATTGTTTTACATCACATGTTTATTCATTACCGTATCACGCAATAAAAATGTATCTAACGTATCAACATCAAACATTTTCACATTGTACATAAAACTTATCTGAGGATGTACAAAAAAACTAACAATACATAATAATTCTTATTTGGCATAGGGCGCCTATATTATATTAATAAGACACATTCTATAATAATAATAATAATAATAATAATAAACACGGAGACACTTGAATCACCCATGAGTGTTTTTCATCAAGACCGTGCAAGGCCATACATAATTAGAAAAGAAAATATTATTGAAAACAAAATGAGTTAAAGAAAACAACAAAAACAAAATATCTTAATTACAGTGAAACTATCCCCCGCCGGACACCAACCCGGTATTTCTAAGTTTCTGGGATAAAAATAATCATTTACTGTATCTTTAAACAAATAAGATTTAATATTATGTTTTAATGACGTTATATATGAAGAATATAACACCATGTATCTTTTGTATCTTGTTTTATTGGTAAACAGTGTAGTAATGGAATGGTTAAATGCTTTAAATGTATATAATTAGACAATCACGTTGTACACAAAACATATCGGAGATGGGTAAATGCTTTAAATTTATATAATATATAGGCCAGGCCTAATGAAGAAATATACAGTTGGAGATTTCAAGGCAGCAGCGGGTGTAATAAAAATTAAAAAAAAAAAACAATTATTGGCGGGGCACTATATTATCTGAGACAACTATACACGTGTAAAATTCATGTCATCAAAGTTGTACATAAAACAAAAGGGGCAAGATGTGTTAAATATTTTTTCAATTTATTCGCCAATTCTCAACCTTGAAAATAAATCAAAAATTTAAACATATTTCAAGAAGTGACGAAACAAAGCTGTATACTATACAACCGCATATTGTTTTACATTACATGTTTATTCATTACCGTATCACGCAAGAAAAATGTATCTAACGTATCAACATCAAACATTTTCACATTGTACATAAAACTTATCTGAGGATGTACAAAAAAACTAACAATACATAATAATTCTTATTTGGCATAGGGCGCCTATATTATATTAATAAGACACATTCTATAATAATAATAAATAATAATAATAATAATAATAATAATAATAATAATAATAATAATAATAATAATAATAATAATAATAATAATAATAATAATAAACACGGAGACACTTGAATCACCCATGAATGTTTTTCATCTATCCCCCGCCGGACACCAACCCGGTATTTCTAAGTTTCGGGGATAAAAATAATCATTTACTATATCTTTAAACAAATAAGATTTAATATTATGTTTTAATGACGTATATCCAGCTGTTGTATGACTACGTTCTCATTGGCGGCTGTTGTGTATTCGGTGGCCCCTTT